GCTTTTGAAGCCTATTTCAGAGGTGGCCCTGGTCACCCGGGAGGCCTCTTGGTGCTCCATGCTAGCACCTGCTCGCATTTTCCCCCTAGATGGAGCTTTCGGCTCCCAAAGGACATTAACAGCCTTCATCTACACAGAGTGACCAAAGTTCTAGCCACACCTGTCCGGGAAGCATGCCCCCACACTTCAGGGAAGAAGGGAGGAGAGGGAACTTCCCAGGCAACGGCACTGCAGGCAGCAGCCGGCAGTGGACAGTCCAGCGTTCTGGGGACGACTGTCCGGTGACCCTGCCACGGTTGGCTAAGAGTCTGGGAGGACTGGGGAGGAAGGTTCCGCCCACAGCCGCCCGCCTTCCTCTCGGACGGGCGGGACAGGGCTCCAGAGCCGGGCACACCGGACCTGAGGTCCTGGCGAGGGCCGCTGGGAGGGGCACGTACGTCTGCACCCGGGCTCCACGCGCCACTCTCCCCACATGGGTCCCCAGCACTGCCCAGGCCGCCGCGCACAAGCGGCTTCCGTCCCTCGGGGAGGAAGCCACAGGGCTGGGGACCGGGACCGGGATCCTCTGGCGCCGGGGCACGTGGCTCGGCCTTAAAGCACGCGGGTCGCTAGACGTGCCGCGACAGCTCAGGGTGCACGCGGGTGGGGTCCCGGGGACAAGGCGCGGCCCACAGCCCCGCAGCGGCCGGGCAGGGTCACTCACCTCTGCGGCCCGCCGCTCCGAGCAGCCTCGGCCGAGCAGGTCGCAGGCGGAGGCGGTGGCTCGGCCGAGCTCCTCCCTCCCCGCGCCCCGCCCGTGCGCCCGGGGGCCGGACCTGCGCGCGGGAGGTGGCCGCCCTCCAGCCCGCCGCGGCTTATCCGGCTCGGCTACCTCCCCCGAGCTGCGATCGTAGTGCCGCAGGGTCTTTGGTCCCTATCCTCCTCCCCCGGGAGGTTCGGAGCCAGCCCCACCACTTCCGTCTGCACACAGTTAAAGTAAGCAGAACTCCCAATGGCTGTTAACCAGGACCCGCTGGGGCTGGGGGACAGAGTGACCTCTACGCTTCCTTAATTGTGGGACATTTCTGTTCCAAGAGCGTTTTATGGCTAAGGCCATCATAGCAGGTCGAGAGGCAGTTTGAGAACGCACAGGTGGACAGAGGCCAAGGCCGTCTGGATTGGACATTTCCCTCCCCTGCCATGAAGGGAGCACCGGAGACCCCTCTTCTGAAGGTGCAGCCAAGCTTCTGTGGTCTGACACACCTGTGTCCCCTTTCACCCTTGGGGAGGACTTCGACCCTTCCCTGTAATAGGCAAGGAAGAAGTCTGGTGGTTGCCTTGGCCCTCCAGGAGCTGCTGGGTACCGAGAGCCCTGGCTCGGCATCTTGGACCCCAGAAGAGCACTGTGCCCTAGAGAAAGTGCCCCTGGGCCTGGGACACTACCCCCTAATACCCCCACACCTGCCCTTAATGCCAGTGCATCCTCTAATGCCACACCTACTGCTGACAGGGACTGGTGAGGAATGTGGATTCTGATGGTTGAGGAGGATACCAATTTCACTTCTTGGAGGCCAAGTGGGGGTTCCCTAGCCCATGGGACTCTTTCTGAAATATTCTGGGGGCCACATTTCACCAATCCCTGATAAGGAGCTTCAGGTTACTCTTAGGAAGTGGAAGAGTCCTGCTTTCCAAGAATTCAAACTGCATGGGGGAGATAAGCCCAAGGGAGGCCAGAGGTAGGGAAGGCAGGCCTCAAAAACGGCCCTACTGTTGGATCCTAAAATGTACAGCAGAGCTGAGGAGGTGGTGTTCAGGCTTTCCCGTGGAGGAAATGCTTCTGAGAGTGCCAGGAGCTCCTGTACCTTCTCAGGGCCATGGCTTCCTCCTGCCCATAACGCCCTGCTCCAGCTCTCTAGTGGGCCAGCCCCAGGACCTGTCAGTTGGTCTTCTTTAGAGATCCTCGTGTCCCACCCTTTCCCAGGACACCACACTCTCTGAGCTTCTGTGACAGTTCTCAGTCACTTCCCTGTGCCAGACCTTGCACCGGGGATACTGGGTCTGGGGAATAGTCTCTGTAGTGGGTTGTTAGTAATTGTTAGGAAAAAAACAAAATCTAGTTTCTAGCACTCCTTGATATTGTTGCTGGCTTAGTAGCTGCTCTTTAAATATCTGCTTTGGCTGGTGGGGATCTCTGAGCATCCTTCTTGCAAGGAGCTTGAGCTTGGAAAATGGAAATGCTCTGGGATCTTCCAGAATCCTTGGAAGGGACCTTGGATTTATCTACTGTCCCTCAGACAGTAGGTGTTTTGTGGATTCCCCAGGGGAAAGGGAGAGGCAGAATGAGAAGGCAAGGAAGGAATGAGGGAGAGAGGAAGGAAAGTAGGCATGGGATCTGGTGTGGATTCGAGCTCTATAGATGTTTCCTGAAGTTTGAGGGTCAATTCAGATGAGCCCTCGTCTGCTCCAGTAGGAGGGTGATACCCTAAGTTTTGCTGAACACTTTTAAGGCCAGTCCCTGGGAGCCAGGCCAAAGTGAGGTAGTCTGTGCTATCCTTGCAAGGCCCTGTCACTCCTCTGCGCAAACCTTCCTTTGGTCTCAGAGTGGAAGCCAAGTTCTGGGAATGGTGGCAAGGCCAGCATAATTAACTGGCTCTTAGCTTCATCTTCTATCGGCCTCTGTTCACACTCTATCTTGCCCAGCTGGCTTCCCTTTCCTTCAAACACATGAGGCAGGGTTCTCCGAAGAGGTTCTCATGCAGGACCACCAATCTGGCCATCCCCTCTGCCTGGTCTCCAGGGGTCCCCATGGCCCCTCCCTTTCTCCAAATCTTTGCTGAAATATCATCATTTGTGTGACACAGGGCTCCTGGCCCCCCTGTTATCCTCCTGTGTATGCCCAGTGCTGATGCCTTGCTGATCCAGCCAATCCATTCTTGCATTCATCATGTTGGCACTTGGAGTTGCTGAATATTCTATTTATAGAGCTCCTGGGATCACCCCTTTCCTGAAGACAAGAGTAGTCAGAATGAGAATCTAGATTCATGATCTACCTGGACCAGACAGAAGTAGAACGCGGATCATTCTTAGCCTCATGGATTGACCCAGCATTTATAGGCCAAGACAAAGGACATCCATTTTATGAGACTGAAAGATTTAATTGACTGTTAAAACAAGATAGCCAGAGGAAACCATGGGCCCTGATAGACTCTGACAGCCGTGGCCTGGAGCCAGGCCACCTGGATCTGGTCCTGTCTCAGCTGGGCAGGGTGGGCTTTGGCTCCAGGGAAGACACTGCTCCCTGCTGACGGTCTCCTTCCATTGACCAGGTACCAAAAGATTCCCCTGAAGCTTTTGGGTCCTGGGAGCTGTTCCCTTCTGTGAAAGAGGGAATGGGGACAGGCTGCCATGGAGAGGGTCCTGAAGGTGACTCAGGCAAAGGGGGGAATTTTCTTGGTGATCGTGATGACCCAGTGCAGGGGGCGTGGCCACACCCAGGGCAAGGGGAGGGAAAGGCCTGTGAGCCAGGCTGGCAAATCATACTGGGGCCTGAGATTTAGACATACAAACTGATTTCCATGGCACACTGTTGTGAACCCATGGTGCAGATTGCATCACATTATAAAGTGTGGCTTAGGGGCCTTGGGGACTGTGCCGTATGCACTCTAATATCCCTGCACTGCAGAGTGTGTTACCCTTCTGTGGTATAAGCATAGCATAGCCCTCCTTCCAGCCCTCTACTGGAAGCTGAACTCTCCAGGGAGGAAAAGGTAACTGAGCTCAAGGTAGTGAGAAACTGTGTGTCTGCAGAGATTTAACTGTGACCAATGCAAGGGTGTGGAGAAAGCTCCGGAGGCAGGTGTTAAGGGTACAGTGGGAAAAGGACAGGAGGTAGTGTGGGCCGTTTCTCCAAAGGAGCTCCCTGGTACATAGCGGGTACTTAATAAACTTTTGTGTGGTAGCTTGTGACTGGACCAAGGTGGCCCACTGGAATGCAGAAGTTCTGCCTAGCACCTCCAGGAAGCTTGCGCTGAACCCAGGAATAGGTTCTCCGTGTCTGTGATAGATGTGGCATTGCCTTTCCAGTGAAGGAGGTCAGAAACTACAGAAACCTGGGCCTCCAAACCTGCTACTCCAAAGGTGGTGCCCATAATGGTCGGTTGGGGAAGTTTTGACAGTTGCAGAGCTCCTGAATTAGAAACGCATTTTAACAAGGCTCCCTAGCAAATTGCCTGCATATGAAAGTTTGAAAGCACAGGTTTACAGTACAGCTGAGGAAACCGCCAACTCCTTGCGTGCCTGGGTCAAGATGGATCAACAGAAAGCTCTAATTGGGCGACAACCATTCTCACTTGGTTGCACTTGCACTGGCCTGGCAAGCACAAGGTCGTGAGTTCGATTCCCGGTACCAGAAAAACAAAAAGTTCTTGTGAGCCAATAGACTCGGGTAATCTGCTTCTGAATTTCTATAAATGTGGAGTCAATGACTCTACCCTCCACAGCACTCAGTGCCTATTGCACAAAGCGTCAAGAAACAAAAACTGTGCTGACTCCTTTCCAGTGCATGTTATTTCCCTTTTTGACTCTGCCAGCTAGGACTATCAGAACTATATTCCTGAACACATTATCTTTATTAAACATATTTCAATTTTACTTTCTTCTTTCCTACTTCATGATATTTCTGTGTCTAGTTTATTATTAAACTTATTGTTAAACTTTCCAATGTAAGCTCTCCCAAATTGCCTCTGAAACAACTCTATGAGCAAAACTAAATACAAAAGGCGCTTGCACTACAGTGGCAAATCTGCTTTTGCTCCCTGAACTGCCCTCACTCTTTCAGAGTAATGGTATCTCCTCTGCTGGACTTTGGGAGGAGGCCAGAGAATTGGAAGAAGTGTATCTCTTGGCCTTCTGCCAGGATTTATGGAGAAAAGAAACTCCAACAGCTGGGGCTCACTTAGGGGGTGCTCACTCCATGCCACATGCTACTGCCTGCCTCCTCCCTGCCCATCAGCCCAGCTTACCGGGTTTGTCCTTGCCAGATGACTTTCCACAGCCCTGGACAGGGGTGGTGGGGCAGGTGCCCCAGTCACCAGGGACCTCGGCTGCCATTTGTCTGTGTGCTGCTCCTTGTGCTGCTGGGACCCCTGGGTGGCTGGCTGGAGCTCACTCAGCACAGCTCGGGTGGTGGAGATCAGTACGAGCTGAGGCTGAAGGGTAACAGGTCACAGCTCCGCCCAGCTGGGGCAGAGCTGGGGGTTAGTGGCCTCAGGGTCATCTGCAAACACACTGAGGTCAAGGGCAGAGATAAGACTCGGGATGTGACCACCTGCTGAGTTCTTTGCTACCTTGGTCTTGGCCTCCAAGGGGAGTTAGGAAGTGACATTTCCTGACATGGTGGCAAGTACTGGGCTATGTTGAGACTCTGCAAAACAATTAGGATCAATGCCATTTTTTTAGATGATGATGTGGCTTGCTTGGCATTCATTATGCAATGTGGAAAAGGCCAATCTGGGACTGAAACCAATTCCCCCGCCCCAAATGTTTTCCTACTTCTCCTTCCTGTCTCCTGTGGGTGCTGACCTGCATGCCTTTGGTGACCCTCTTAACAAAAGGAGGTGGGGCCAGCAGGGTATGAGAGTTTAGCATGCACAGCACAAGCAGGATGACTGGTAGATCATTCTATCCCAGACACTCCTTGCAATGCACCCAGCTTGTCTGGGGAGATCTCAGTAGCTGCCCCAGCCTCTTAGCAAGATAATGGCTCCAGGTTGCATCTACCAGCTAGAAATCTGGTGCCCAGAATGGTTATATCAGTTCTTACTGGCTAGCTTCAGGGACACCACACTGAAGGCCATCATTCAGAGCAATCTTTAGACAATGCTGGTGGCTGCAGTATAGGAGAAGCCAAGGCCTTGCAGGGAATAAAGGAGATAATGGTCCTGTTCAGGGTCTTGGGCCACAACCAGCTAGGCTTGGGTCCCCTTGGGAAAAGGAGGAGCAGGACCTTGGCCTCTGGAAGCGCCCTTGGGGTAAAAGAATATGCATAGACTTTGGAGTTCAAATTCCTAGGTCTTCTTCACTGCGTTTCACCATTTCCTCCACTGTAAAATGAGAGGGTATATACCTCATCAGCTGGTTCAGGGCAGTAGGTGAGACATTATGAGGAAAGAGCCTGGCAATTAGTAGGTGTTCATTAAAAAGCATTCAGCTCAGCTGGGCATGATGGTATAGGCCTATAATCCCAGCACTCTGGGAGCTAAGACAGGAGAATTGCAAGTTCAGGCCCAACCTAGGCAGTGTAATGAGACCTCATCTCAAATAATAAATAAATAAATAAATAGATAGGTAGATAGATAGATAGATAGATAAAGACTGGAGCTGTAGCTTAGTGCAAAGTCCCTGGGTTCAATCCCCAGTATGGGCAGTTTGGAGGGGAGGCAGTCAGCCTATCAGAGAGGAAAAGCAGGAATATTCAGAGAAGAAAGCAGACTGCTGAAAAAGGCAGTTCCTCATTGAAATAGGTCTCCAGGCAGGTGGGCAGTGGACGCCAGCCCCTTCTCTCTGTCTCACACCGTTAGTGGACACTGTGGGCACCCCGGTCTGGGAGCCAGGTCTCCTCCTTCTTCAGTGGCTGGCCGTCTCATAGGCTCTTCTTGCTGGACCTCACATTCCTGCCAGGCTGCGGCGTCTGAAGTCCTGGTGCTGGAAACACGCATCCCCGCTGTGAGAGCTGCTGGGAACAGGCCCTGGCCTCTGCAGGCTTTGGGGGCTGGAAAGGCACAGCAGGAGCTGGTGTTGGGGCTGGGGGTGGAAGTGGTGGGGGCAGATGAAGGGAGGCCTGGTTTGCCTTGGGGAGAAGCCAGCCTTGACTGTGCCGTTGGGTGGAGCCTGGGAAGATCTTGAGCGGCCTGAGTGTTGGCGATAATAATAGCAAGGGTTTTTTTTTGAGGCTTGCCACATACCAAGTACCGGTCTAAGCGTCAGCACTGTATTAAGTCAGTTAATCTTTACAGTGCATTTTGCCTGTTTTCAAATATAGAAACTGAGGCACGAGAAAGTTAAGGCACAGCAGGGTGTGACAGTTTGGAATGGTGGTAGACCAGGTATTGAACCCACTGGTCTGTTCTAGTGCCCATGTCTGCCCCTATATCCTTGTGGTCCAGGCTTCTGCATTCACTGCAGAGGTACCTCTACCTGGCAGCGTGGGGAAGGTTGATCCACGAAGGAAGAAATGTACTTACTATGGGCAAGGCTCTAGGTTCCACCCCTAGCACTATATATAAAAAAAAAAAAAATTACAAAGAAAGACACAAAAGTGGGCTAGGCCTAATGAGCAATAGGCAGACAGAGCTGTCTTGGTAGGCTGCCAGCCCCTCCCCCAGGCCTAGTAGCTGCCTTTCAGTCGAAGTTTAAGGCCCTTGACCCAGAGTGAAAGGTTGCAAAAAGGCCGTTTGTCCAAGCCCAGGCCTCTTGCCTGTGAAGCACATGAAGCCCACGGAGGGAAGTCCTGCAAGGCCTGTGGTGGCCTTACCTACTGACTTGACACTTAGAAAGAATAGGCTTTTTTTTGTTTGTTTGCAGTGCCTGGCAAGGATGGAACCCCGGGTCTGGAGCAGGTAAGGCAGAGCTCTACCCCTGCACTATACCCTCAGGCCTGCCTTTGTTTTTGAAGAAACTCCTCTGAGGTGGAGGAGGAGGGAATTCCAGGCAGAGTGTCTGCTTGTGCTTGGGGGCAGAAGCTAGGTAAAGCCAGGACTCTGATTCTGAGGCAGCTTACAAAGCCTCTCAGTGTGTCCAGGTGCCAGTCCTTGAAGGAGCCTCAGTGCCTCCATTTCCTCTGATGTAAAATGAGGAGCCTTTAAACAGTTCAAGGAACCTGAAGTCTCTGCAGATGCCTTTGGGAGTGAGGGGATAGACAAGGCTAGGACTTCAGGCCCTATCCACCTTTTATCCAGGCCAGGGCTTTACGTCATGTACAAGTGAGGTCATACTGTTGATCCTGGGTTAGACATCACTAAAGTCCCCTCAGTGTCTAAGCTTCTAATCTGGCTAATTTAGGACTGTTTAGAGAATCAGAGGCACCAAGGCCAAGCCTTCCGCAGTTAGCAGGACTTCTGGTGGGAGCACCAAAGGCAATGGACAGTAGCTCCTAAGAAGCATTGGGGACAGCAAAAGGCAGGCCCAGGGAGATGTTTTCTGCTGGGGTAGGGAAGGGCTTTGGGTGTCCTCATGTCATGAAGCCACTGCTCTGTTGATTTACCTTCCTTGAACATAGAACTGCCTGAACATAGTAACTGTCTACAAGACACACAGAGAATGTACAGCACATGCAGATTTATGCTAATGTCATGCAAATGAAGCTGGCCTTAGGCTGGGTACCCTGGGATGGCAGCTGGTTGGGGTGAAATGCCCTTGTTTCTTATTTCTGACTTTGCCTTACGACTGAGAGGACTTTGTAGGGACAGACCCACGAGCTTCCCTCTGCACGTTCCCCCTTCTCAGCAGGCTTCAGCAGGAGACAACAAGGAATGATGGAACACTGTCAGTAGGCCCCATGGAGCAGGAAAGGACATGGTACCCAAGGGACACTGGAGAGGAAGGCTGCAGGCTCATTCTAGGGCTTTGCACAGACCGATTCAGTAATGTCCTCATTGGATACAAAGGACAGTGAGGCTTGGAGAGGTGCAGTGGAGTTCCCTATTCCGCAGTCAGGGTCAGAATTCCATCTGCGGCTGGCTGACTCTGGTTCTGCTTGCTGCCTTCACCATGTGTTGTGGAGGGTGCTGGGGTGCTGTGCCACCTGACCAATACATAATGCATGGGTGATAATGGACCTCCAAATGATATGATAGAAGGGGAATAAATGTAATACCCAACCTGCTAGATGTCCGATACACTGAGTTTGTGGTCCCTGAAATCAAAGAATCAGTTCTGAGGAACAATGGAGGTTAAGAGTAGGAAATTTTATTGAGGGAGTGACAACTCCTGAGAGAGACAGGAGGGTGCCCAAATGGGTTGCCAATGAGTCCACTTCTCAAAAAAAGTTTTATAGAGCAAAATCATGAGGTGGGTACAATGCAGGACAAAACTATGATCAACCAATAAGATTACAAGCATAGCCAGTTAGGTAGTGTTGATCCAATGGGGAAGCAAGTCACATGGCAAGTGTATGTGGAAAGTGTCAAGCCTGACCTGAGAGACTCCATATCTCTCCTTGTAAATAATGGGAGACAATAGGTTGCCGCTGCAAACAAGAAGTAAGGACAATAAAGACATTTAGGACCACACTTGAAGCTGTTCTGGCAGTAGTTCTATCCACACACCTGTACTGATTGCCCATGTAGGTTTGACTTCAATCACTTCATCCAGACTCTGAAATTCCTACCCCAATCTAAAAGTCCTATATAGACTCAGTCTCCTCTCCAGATAGCTCCTGGTGTCACTCCAGTGTCAGCCTGCCTGTATGTAGGTGAATAAAATCTGATCTTTCCCACAGGCTTGGTCTCTGGGTGTTGCCTCACGCTGCTAACTAAGAGAAAAAACAAGGATGCTTTTTGGGAAGGGATGAGTTAGGAGGTCCTGATCACCCACCCAGGTGACTGATACTTATTTAGAATATTGATCACTGTATGTTATTTATCCCTTGGGGTGGCATGTAGGTCTAGTCATTCCATCTTTATCTTGAGGCCTGGACTTCAGTGAACACACCTCCAGCCACAGTTGTAAAGTGTTCTTATCTTCCACACTAAGTCCTCTGAGGGCCTAGCCCTGTCTGAGTGCTGATAATGCTTCTGCCTAATTTAAGCTTTCTGTAATATGGCTACGTGCGTACCTAGCGTGCACGCAGCCCTGGGTTCCATCCTCAGTGCAGCATAAATAAGTAAACAAATAAATAAATGTTGGAAATAATATGGAAGAGGGGCATAGAGCCTCCAGAGCCTGATCCCTGACTGCCTTTCCAGCCTTGCCGAACACCCAGCTCTGCTTAACATGGCTGCCCCAGGGCACCTTTCCATTCCCAGCCCCAGTGCCTGGCTCAGGATGTGTTTTTCTTAATGCATGAAAGCTTATCTTCAGAATACTTAGAGGTTATTTCAGCCACTGAGGATCTTTGCTGCTGTTTTTTTAAATTAGCCCATGTCCAGGCCAGAATGTACTCTGAAATGGCACAGGTGAGA